AATTCAACAGTAGCAAAGAATTGCTTCTTAGACACCAATGCTTGTCACTGTATTTACAGTGTAATTGGTATCATTGGTATCATTACAGTGTAATTGGTATCATTGGTATCACTGTATTTACAGTAATCGGTATCATTAATGCGGTGTCTACATCAGAGACCAGCAAATGCAAAGCCATGAAGTATATTCAGGCCTTGCACCCCGCTTCCTGCACTGGACACTCTTAGAGGTGTGGGAGTGCCGCAGTCACTAGGGAGGGCCTTGGTAGACATGCCAGCCAGGCACCGCCAGGAACCACAAGAGCACAGCCCACCTTTGCTAGGCTTGTCCCAAGAAGATTCTGAGATTCTGCAGGCCTCAAGACAAATAGAAAACAACTGCCATTAATTTATTTAGTTGCAACAGAAAAAGAATCAGAGAGGTTTGAAGTGAAAGACCTCTCTGTTTACACCCTTGTTTGTTTCCTAACTCCTCACCCCTGGGAAGTTCTGGGGCTCAGTGAGGCAGGATTGCTGTGAAAGGAGAGGGAAGAAGGGGAAGAAAAAAGCGAGGAGGAAGAAGAGGAAGGAGACAGACACAGGAGCCCAGGACCTCTCACTGCTGCAGAGGCAGCCACAGAGAGTGGCAGCAGAGATGGATGAGGGCCGGCAGCTAGGCCCTGCTCTTACACAAACTGCCTTCCTCAGCAACTCGCTGCCACTATCCGTTAATCTTCTTGCAAAGGTACAGTTTTACATTTCCTTCCCCGCTAACCTAATCTACAGTCTCCTTTATGCATACATGACCTGAGGTTTGGGGGATGGCACCGGGGGCATGTACTCACCAGGAACTGATCTGCCTAGCTCTGCACTACAGCAGAATTTAAGTATAAGAGGTTTCATTACACTTAGAGACAGGAAAAGAACATCAGCCAGTCTGTCCTCCCTACTCTCCACCTGAAAAGAAAGATCATCAATTCAAGGCACTGAACAGAATGAAAAGTATATGCAGATGGATATACAGATAGAGAGAGAGCCTATTACTAGAAGTGATACGTAATTAACACAAGCAGTTTTCCTACAACTAGATAATTTCTAAGAAAATTTAACAAATTTACTTACTTGCAACAGAAAAAAGAATCAGAGAGGTTTGAGGTGAAAGACATCTCTCTGTTTATACCCTGTCTCCAAACACACAGCAATACACACACACACCCCTCTTACTAAGTGCGTTTGGAATAGGTCCGATTCGCTTAACTCACATTTAAAAAACAAAACCCATTTGGTGATAATATTGTCTAATACTGAAAACCTCTTTCTGTTCCCAGCCTACGGAGACAGATTTTTGAGCGTGACTGAGACAGGCATATTGGCAAAAACATGAGCGCAGCACACACGCATACAAACACAGCCTTCCACACTCCCACCCACCGCCCACCCATCCTCGTGGGCTCCGTGTGCCCAAACAGAGACACAAAGATGCAAACATTCTGACATCACCGAGACGCTGGGGTGTGCTTCCTGCAGAGGTAACTGCTGTCTTCTCAAGGTTTCTATCTGAGGGATTTCCTAGCCACCTACAGTGATGTATGCTTCCCCGGGCCAAGGAAGAATTTTTGTAGGCTCTCCCCCTCCATGGTGAAAGCAGGGGTGGAGAAGGGCATGGAATTTGGGGATGGAAAGGCCAGCACAACCCCAGCCCACCTCACACTTGTGGTCCTGCATAGCATTTCTGTCCTGAGATCCACTCTATCAGAAGCCTTTTTTCTTCTGGCAAATTGCCTAAAGCTGTTGAAGAGTATGCATAAACGTTCCACAGAACCCAAGAACCGATGCGGACACCATTTGACTGTGCAGGGATAATTTTCCTAGCAGGGATTCTGAGCCATGCAGACGCCTTTGGGGAGAGATATTTTGGTTGAGGGGCTGTGGCAGACTGTGGTGTTGGCCCTGGCACTGGATCCTTTTCCCAGGGCTATGGTCGGCACCTGCGTGATGCTGAGGAACTGAACAGCGCACTCCCCACATTGGCAGGTCCTACTTCCCTGCCTCTGAACTTGGCCAAGCACTTTTCTTTGGCCAGCTCACCTCAAGTGCTCCTGCTTTGGGCCTTGCCATGAGGACATGTCCAACCTATTCCACTAATCTCAGGAAGAACGTAAGAGAAGGAAGAGACACACCAGAGTAGAACCAGGAAAGCCAGCTTGGGTGGACCTAGCCCCAGCCAACCTCGGCAACCTCAACTGCAGAGTGAGGAGAATAAATGATTGTCATCATAAGCCACGTTTTTGGTAGTTGTTACACAATGTTTTTGTGGCATTGTCTAACTGACTTAGAAGACTTCTGATATCTCTCAGAATGTGCTCCAAAGATGATACTCACTTTGCTATAAATGCAATCACCTGAGAGAGCTCACCTCCTGGGTGGAGTGCCATACCTAGTGGGAAGGGACAAAAGGCAGCAAGCAGGCCCTGGGCACACAGAGGATACTGAGGGAGGACAAGTATAACAAAGGCAACCTTTTCATCCACATTTCCTGCTACTGCCAGCTCACTCATATTTCCACCTGGAGCAGCATCTGGGGACCTGATGCTTCCCAACCCACACCCCAGTCAAGAGCTTCTGAACACAATGAGAAACTGAGGCCACCCAGTCTTTGCACACCAGGCATGTCCCCAGCGGCTGGACTGTTTCATCACTGTGCTCTGTTGCACCAGACTACATCTGCCTGTCCCACCACCCACCGCACCACCCACCGCAAGGCAGAAACAAGACTGCTGTGTAATTACACAGCGAGTTAAGAGGCAGGGAACAAGGACCCACCCAAGAGGGGAGAGGAAGGACAGGGCCAAGAAGAACGAGGAGCTTGACTGACACAACAAAACCCTGCCTGAGATGTGTCCTTGGCCAGTCCCTTGGCAGCACGGCAGGGACAGGTGGGGGCCGTGGTAATAAATCCAGGGAACATCTTCGGGAAGGCACGGAGGGGGTATCCATGGCAGTGATAGTGTTCCCAGGGCAGCAGGCTCCTATGACCCCTCCACATGTGGCCAGTGAGTTATGGGACTTCTCTGTGAAGAGGAGGAACATAGGTAACAGGGTAGAGCAGCTCCCGGAAAAACACAGCATGGCCCTCCAGACCCCAGGGACAGCCCCGTCCTTCAGGGCGAGTCTAAGACCAAACTCTGTCCCGGGTGCTCTGGGCCCAGTTCACACATATTGCAAGCTGGTCAGGGGCAAGACTTTGCCAGCAACACCAGAGAAACTTGGTCTTCTCTGCTCCTTTAATTTAACAAAGTAGTGGCAAGAGAGGGATGCAAGGGGCTGGAGATCGAAGTGGACAGATGGAGGAGTCACCTCTGAGACAAGCCACAGTTATGGAAACTGTATTCTTGTTCACATAGAACTCTAAAGAATGTGCCAAACACCTAGGCAAGCCAGCAAGTGGAGAGAAGAAAGCGGCACTGGAGGACTCCCGAAGGAGCGTTCTACCCTCAAGGTTACAGACTGAATGTTTGCGTCACCTGTGAAATTCTTGGGTGGAAGGGCCAGTGCTAATGGGGCTGTATTAGGAGATGGGGTCACTAAGAAAGTAACTAAGGAAATACGAGGTTATGAGGTGCCCTGAAGAGACAGGGTTAGTGTCCTCATAAGCAACACAGAGAGTTCTCTCCTCTCTTCTCTGTCTCTGTCTCTGTCTCTCTCTCTCTCTCTGTGTTCCTCTGCCCCCCCTACCCCGTCCTCCACCACATGAGGACACAGCAAGAAACTGGCCATCTATAAGCCAGGAAGAAGACCCTCGCCAAAAAGCAAGTGTGCTAGAACCTTGTTCTTGGACTTCCAACCTCCAGAACTGTCAGAAATAAACTTCTGTTATTTAAGTCTATAGTACTTTTTTTATGGTAGACCAAGCTGATGAATACACCCATGTACTTGCAAGTTTCAATTTTTGCTTTTGCTTTGAGCTGCCTCAAGACCTGTATCTTTCAGGAAACTGAGCCCTTATTTTGAAGGAACCCAATAAGTTCCTGCAGCTCCCCTAAGAGCTGCTTAAGGGACCTTCAAAAATGCTCCTGTAGAACAGTGGCTTGGAGAGAGACATTAGCATTGCTACTCAAGGCCAGAAATGAGCCTGTGGTCTGTCCTGTGTGAAGTGTCAGCTTACGTTTAGTGGGACGTGAGTTCCCTATCTCTGTGCCCCAGGATGAGAGAATCTTCAGAGGCTTCACCAGAGGGAACCCTTTCCCCCAAGAAATGGTAGACAAGCATTTATATGTTTTGCAAGAGCTATCTTTTGTGTTTTGATTTACACACTATATTTCCTAACAACAAATACACAATAAAATTTTCTAAACCAAACTATGCCAACTGCAGCCTACAGGTCAAATCCAGCCCACTGTGATTTTTAAACATAGTTTTTACATTTTTAAGATTGGGAAAATCAAAATAAAATTAACATAGTGACACAAGAAAACTGTGTGAATCTCACATTTCAGTGTTCATAAATAAAGTGTCATCGGAATGTGGCCATGTTAGTTCACTCATGTATTGGCTATGGCTGCTTTTGCACAATAATGTAAAATTAAATAGTTATGACAGAGACTTTCAGGCCCACAAAGCCTAAAATATTTACTATCTGGCCATTTACAGAAAATATTTGCTAGCCACAGCTCAAAACACACTGTAGGAATTGCCTACTTAAGGCAATCTATTAAATATGCCTTTTCCAAGAAGAGTTCCAGGTTGCTTTGGCTTTTGAGTTCTGTTAAATGAGGCACCCCTCATTTATGTATTTATGATTCACTTCCCTTCCACAGTAAGGGGATGGAGTTTTGGCTCCGCCCTACTGAGAAAGAAGCTTGGATAGCAAAGTCATCGTTGTATCCAGAATACACCGTCTCTCGGCCATAATCAGCTCTGTGTTCAGGCAGGAAGTGGAGAGGAATTTCCCAGATGGTCAGTGCTCACCTTCTTGAATGGCAGACTAAGGAGCAGCACCCACTGAGATTCCTTTTTAGAAACTCGCCATGAGAAAATGGAAAGGACATCAGGTGGAAGTCAGGCCCATCTAAGTTTAAATAAAAATTCCATCACTTACTGTCTGCTTGACAATAATTTACCAAATCTTTCTGACCCTCAATTTCATTATCTGTAAAACAAAGTAAAACCTATGTCGTAGAGTTGTCATAGTGACGATATGCTAAGATGATGTACTGGAAAAGCACCTCGCTTAGCAGATATGTTCTGGTAGCTTCTCCCTCTTCAGAAGGTGGTCAAGAGTTCAGGCTCTGAGACAGATAATGGGTTCCACTCTGGCCCTTTAGAATTATGAGGCCTCCAGCAATTCATCCCCATGTCTATGCTGCAGTTTCTTTCTCGGCAAGATGGACCTGATAACAGCTCTACCCTCAGGTGTGTTGTGAGCACTACAGAAGTAGTGAGAGCAGCAGTGGCTCAGGAGCCACATCCAGTAAACACAGCCTGTGATCACGGCCTGTGTCTGGAGATGCTTGGATGATGCTTTGACATAGTGCTTTGCTCACATTTGTGGAAGACATTGGCCATGAGTAGAGAATCTCAGCCCCTCTCCAGATACACCTACACCTTACCTATGAGGATGCTGGCACCAATCCACAGGGTCTGTCTTTCAGGAGGCCAGATGACATTCACAACACCTTCTTCTGGAGCCAATGCCTATGTAGATGGGTGCAAACCAACAGAACTTCCTGTTCTTTGTTCCTAAGGCCCTTGGCTTTGAAGAGCAAGGTCCACATCTGGGAAGCTAGAAAATTGGACTTTAACTTACTTTCTGTCTACTCATGATCTTACCTAAGAGAAAATGAGAGCATACATTGGCCCCAGAGTCATCAGAATTGGCTTGATTTTCTTATACGCAAATGCTACTCACCCTCCTGTCCCCAGCTCACATGGGACCCTGCCTTAACAATCTTTCCACTCTCTTCCGTAAAGTACCTCCTCCCCTACAGAACTTCCTTCAGACGTTGATCAGAAAGCACTTATACACTGTGCTGTACAGGACTTTGCATCCTCTGCTCAACTCAGTATCTCTTCAGGAGGCAGCATGGCTCACAGGACAGAAGCATCAAACATCTGGTGGTTAAATGAATCCATGAATGAACAAAACACAAAGAGGAACTGCAAAGAATGTGGAGCAAATCCTTAAAAACTCAGGTACAGCTGAAAAGCTCTTGAGGTGCCATCTGAGGGCCAGTGTGGCCTGCAGGTGACCCTGGAAACTCCTGCTTTCCAGACTGGTGCACTGGCTGCCAGAGTCTGGCTCCAGGTTCTCTTTGGCCGCCTGGGTCACCCAGGGAGAACACGCTTCCAGCTAAAACCTGGAGTGTTCCCACATAATCCATTAATGTAAATGATCTGTCATCTTGACCAGTAAGGTTAAAGCAAATACCTGTTATAGGAAGGATCTGAAGCACCACAGAGTAGCACAGAAAGTTCAAGTACAATTGTTTTCTAAGAGAGGTCGAGTTCACCTTGTGTCAGGCTAACAGTTACCGATTAAAGGAGACAATACTATAAATTTCGCTGGCTTTTAAACTCCAGGTACACCTCCCACTCCGTGCCTCCTTTGATTGTAAAATAGTATTCCTAGGCTTCAGAGAATACAGACCCCTTTACAATTTTTTGCTTCTGCCCCTTAGTATACCCCATGTTTGGTCGTCTTTTTGTTTCCGCCAAGTACTTCATTATAATACAGTCCATTTCCAGAAAATGGCTGGGGTGGCCCCTGGAAGTGATATCACTTACCTTTGTTTTTGTTTTTATTTGTTGTTTATATTTTCTTATTTTGAAGATATCTTTTAAAAAAAAAAAAAACTGAGATGGCTGCAGTCTGCATTTGGGCCAGAAGGGGGAGGCTGGAGGAAATGGAGCCTTGTAGGTCTCCTGGAAAGTACATTATGGGGGAGGGGTGTGGGGAGAGGGAGGAAGGAGGAAGGGGGAGGTAGGGAGGGGAGAAGGAAAGGGAGGGATAGGGAGGCGGGGAGAGGGGGTAGTTAGAAATGCAGAGGAGGGGCAGTGAAATCAAAATAATTATAATAAAATAATAATTGCAGCCATCATTTTCATTTGCTCAATGTTTTACATATGTAGTGGCACTTAATCCTCACAACAGCCCCAGGAGGTAGGTATTAATATCCCCATTTTTCAGATGAGGAAATCAAAATGCCAAAAAAAGAAACCCTTCAAACTTTCAATTTGTGCACTAATTTAAGGCAGTTGGATTGCTGGGCTATAACCAAGTCATTTCATAAGTAAATACTGGCGGGTTGATGTTTTTTTCTTTTTTTAAATTTTTAATGTTCACTATTCCAGGCCCCAGGTCAGTAACAGAATATGTGGGAAGTCTTTAAAAATACCAGTGAGAGCATTTGAAAGAGCACAGCTGAAAACCACTACTTTTCACACCAGGCTTCATTCAGAGTTCAAGGCTGTACATTTTTCTCCCACACAAATTCAACAGAACACGAAACCACAAGAACTGAGTGTTTTCCAAGTCTGAACCACGGAGTATGAACTTCAGAAACAAGCTTGAGGAGAAATGTATTTGAAAGTACTTCTCTGAAAACCTTTGCAACTCAGTTTCCTGGCTTCAAGGCCCTTGAATACTTCCAGATATTTAACACATACCAAGTCACCGGTGGCATTCAATAAATATTCAACAATGTGAATACTGTGGTCAATTTTCTGAGGGGTCTAAGACTTGCTAGAATTTTCCAGATGAATCATTTCTGCTATGCAGATCCCACATCAAGACCCGTTTCATATCTGCCTCCTTCGTCATGAAATCCACCAACGCTACCTGCCCGATCCAGCTTCTGAATGTCCTAACCCATGGTCATTTTTCTGTGTGATGCAGCTCTGCTGGCAATACGTGTCCTACAGAGATTTCCACCAAGTAAGGATTTATTAAGTGTTGCTGAAGGGATAAATAAATGAACTTCACAGACTATCTCTACATTTAGGTTTTCTTTCAGTATGAGGGTTTGGGATTTTACAGGGGGTGGGGGAATAGGGGCTTTGGATCCTTTTTTCCATTATATTTCAATTGAATTTGTCAAGAGGCTCCAAGTTTTATTTTTCCAACATGAATCACTGATGATCTAACAAATTAATTACCCATCCATCCTGCCCTACTGAGTGAGGTCATGGGAGAATGGATGGGTTCAGCCGACCTCCTTGGGACTGGAGTGTCACAGCCCCCATTTACAAACTTGAGTTCAATGCCAAAATTGCCAGTTTAGGTTAGAATCAGACCTAAATGTATCTTATTATACACAAAGGCACACAAATGCAATATGTCATCTTTAATGGTTCAGAACAAAGCCTAAAAAAATAGTGTCCTAGCACAGATGAATTTTATAACCTTTGATATATGGCTTTCATTATTAACAATAATTTCTGTAACTGCATCCAAATTCGGGAAGACACCCGATGAATATTAATTTTATTTTTGATTTATTTTCTGCTCCCGGTGGCTCCCTCTAGGGCAGACCTGCTTTCCCAGCGTCCCTTTGGTCCTGAGATCCTACAACACAACCTCCAGGGTGGAATTCTCATGGTTCTGAGAGCAGCCAGCTTCCAGGAATATTGCATGGTGGCTTTTGCTATTCTGCTTGAAAACAAGAATCCTTTTTCCCCCATTGCATTTTCTTACCTCTGTATATTTTACAAAGATTTCCCCCTCACACGCCCTTTGTCATTATATTGAAATCTAATTGCAAGACAACTCTCCTCACCTAAGTCATCAACAAAGCCCAATTATTTCTAATGCATGCAGAAGGGGGGAAAAGCGCCAAACAATAAAAAGGCATGCAGTAACCTAAGCCTTTTTCACAGTCAGCCTTCAAGTTCACATGTGAATTTATGCCAGTTTTGACATTAGCCGAAAAAATTAACAGTTCTCAAAAATGAAACTCTCACAAAAGGGGTTTTGTGTTTCAAGTAGAATAAATTATAGTGTGATGTTATTAAAACACTTAGTTGTTAAGTTGCCAAGAAAATCCAGTATATTCACACAGACTCGAGGACCTGTCTCCATGCAAAGTAATTAAATTAGATTTATGGGCTGCATTACATCAGTGTTTGATAGTTCATTTTTCCTTTCTTCATATTTTGCCCTGCTTTATTAGAGCATGTGACAGATGGTAAAAATAGTGTGAAGTTTCTTGGCCCTGTGCTAAATCCCCTTTCGGTAGTATATCTCTCTTCTGTCAGTTCTCCCCAGCGATGATAAATTAACCTCTCTCTTTGTATCCCAAGTGTGGCAGTAAAGCTCTCTTTTGACACGGCACTATCACTTTATCTTAATCTGTGCTGTTTCGAGGAGAGAGCGAGATGATGTAATCACTACCATGAGTTTAAAAAGATTTATTGTGTCAGAAAAAGGGAGGATGATTAATATAATATGCATCATTATATTTTTCATTTTGTCTCATTTGTTGCCTTCTTCTTGTGGAAGGAGAGAAGTTCACCAAGCAGGCCACCCTCTGGGCTGCCCCCGGCCTGCAGCTCTGCAGGGCAACCTGAGCCTGGGGATGGCACAGTGGAGTGGGGCTAGCTCCTCTACACCCCCACCCCAGGCCACCCTAGAAGGAGGCAGGGGCGCTAAGTGTCTGCTTACCCCAGGACTCCCCTTTGGGATGAGAACACAGAGAAGGTCTCAGGGCATTGTTTGAGGTGGTTAAACTCAAGGTGAGCCATGAAACTGAACAGGAGTTAGGGGTTCTCCCATTCCTATGGGAATGGAGAGAAGTTGGGAAGAGGTAGGGCCATATGTGATGCATTTGTAGGGAGGGAGATGTTGCTATGATTATTTCCCTTATTTATAATAAAGCTATAGCCTCCTTAAGCTGCTCCTTGGCTATGAATTGCTTATAACTGGAAACCAACTTGATTCATTTGGCTTGATAAGCATTCATTAATATCTGTATTTGATCGACACTGTGCCCAACACGGGATGGCCACAAAGGTGAACTCAGCACATATTCCTGCCTGCAGGACACTCACAGTCCCGTCAGTGGGCAGCGCCTGGCCGACTGCATTGCACACCTCCCTCCCAGGACCTCCCAGCACTGAGAGGTCAAGCCTGGGTGCAGCCCATGGAGAGAAGCTGGACGCTCCTGGAGGCATATCCGCAAATCAAGGGGACTGATGCATTGCAGATAAGATGAGGAGACTAGAGACACAATGGAAAAGTATCCTTCAAAGTTGAAAAGCAACATGGTGTGCCTCTCCCAAAAGTCAGTAGCCCTTTTGATAAAGTAAATGGTCACATCCCAGTTTCTCTGCTTTAAAAATCTGGATTTTTCATGTTTGCCAAAAGTGAGGTAACACTATAGAATATCAGCCAAATGAAATATTTTCATCTAGTTTTCCTCAGTGACTCTGGAAGAACCAAATGGCAATAGCCCCATGCTGGCTATTCTTTCCTATCAAACCAACTCTTTTCTTCAATCTCTAGGGCTTCTGTCCACCCCTCACCCCAAGAGGGCCACCAACCTCCTTGCTTGTGCATGCACTGTGACCTCACCACATAAGTGATTGGACCAGGCCTGAGCCACTCAGATTTGTTATCCACTAGAAATTTGGAATGGAAATAGATTAATAACCAAAGGGTTAAGAAGAAAATGAGAGGACTCAGAATGCTGGGGCAGGGTGGGCAGGATATAACAGTGCAAAACAGAGGGCTGGAACAGACATACACGCAGAAAAGTGAAGAGATATGCAATGAGAACTTCCTGGGTTCTCATGTGATTTTCTATATACCCAGGCCTTGAGTCCACAACAACCCCTGTGTCCTTAAAAAAATCCTCCTTCACTTTTAAAATGTATCTGATTGTTTCTGTTCCTTGCAACCAAGGGCCCTCAGGCCCCTCTACTTCCTGCAACTCCTCACATAGCTTTCTTTTACACTTAGGCTAGTTTCTTTTGCTCTCCTACTCCTGCGCCCTCTATGTCCCTATGTGCTATATTTGTTGATGCTGGTTCCTTCACCTGAAATGTCCTCCCTTTCCCATAAACTATCCTACCTGACTCAGGTACCTCCTCCAACAAGAAAATGACCCCAGCCCCTGCTCAACTCACAATCAGTCTCTGTCTCCGTCTCTGTCTCTGTGTCTGTCTCTCATCTCTCCTTATAGTCTATGCATCAACAATTAGCAATTAATTGTATTTTATAATACATGTTATGCTGTGATGCTAATCTTATCTCCCCAAAGAGACTGTGAGCTCCTTGAAGGCAGAAACATGATTTCTAGGGCTCATTTATGCCTCTTTAGGGCCAGCAGCTAGTTTGACTAAGGGTATCTTTCCTCCCCTGGACGCCTGAATGTTTCGCAAGGCTGGGTAGAGGGACCTAAAGAATGAAAGAACTTCAGTTTAGATTAAGTCAGAAAAGTCTCCTGTCTTATGAGCTTCCCAACACTGAGGATTTTTTTTCTACTATCATGAACAAAGTGTGGGACCCCTATATTGAGCAAGATGAAAGAGCAAAAACATTGCCCTGGGATAGGGAACAGGTAATATCATTTACAACTGAACCAAACTTACTACTGCCAGAAAAAAGCAAGGTCAACAAGCTGGGATATGGGATGGTGTGTATCAACCCAAACTTTGGATGAACTAAGCTTTATTTCAACTTAATTTTGGAAATCTAAATATATGGAATGCATTAGCTGATTTTATTTTTGGCAGCAGACTTAACCAGTCTAATCATGTTTTGCTCCAGCGAATTTTAAAATTAGTTTGCATTTCCTAAGCACACATCAGCTGGGTAAGAGCTGGGGGAGGGAGGACAAGGAGAGGGAAAGGGAGATGCTAGCAGAAAGCCTGGTTGAGACAAAAACTTTCCCAGCAGATACTTCAGTAAGTGGATAATCCACATGCAGATGCATGAAGCTGACTAGAATTGGGTCCTGGGCCTAGGAGAACGTGGGGTGCAAATAGGGACATGACCACCTTATAAACAAGAGAAGGAGAGGCTTTTATTTTTTTAAGAAAAAGGTTACTATTCACTATCTGCCTACCTTTTGGGAAAAGTGCATAGCTGCAAATATAAAATTTCTGTGTGGTGGTAAATTGTCTCTACTTATTTGTAGAGTTGATTAATGTTATTCTTACTAATATGGTGGCAATATTAAATGATTGTAAAAATCCATGTTTCTCCTGGGGGTTCAGTATGCATCTGCAAACATCATTTTTGTATCCTCAGGCAGACCTAAAAGGCAAGCATGGGCCGGGGTCTCTACCTCTGGGCTGGTTGACCTGTGTCAAAAAACTTTTAACCCTCAAGAATATTTTAGTAACAGTGAATGTTGTTTGTAGGACCCCTTACTCTGTGCTAGAAATTTTAATTTTATTTTGAAGATCTTCACCACAAACCTGAAAATTTGGATGCATGATCATCATCAGTTTACTGATGAGGGAACTGGGTCACACCCCAGTTAAGCAAGTTGGACGTAGTCACACAGTCAGAGAGTGGCTGAGCTGCAATTCAGTCCAATGTTCTGTGCCCCAAGCTAGTCTCATTTGACAATGCTACCTCTAAAGAAATACAGACTATGCTTTAGGATGGAGAAGTGAGCAGAGAGGATTTACTCCTCATCCTCTCTTAGGTGGTGAAAGGACCAAAGAATGCCAAAGGTGATGGGCATGCTATCCCGGGCTCTTGGGACTCCCATGCTGCTCTGAGTCAAACTGTGTGTCATCGCAAAGACTGCCCATGACAGGCAGCTGTCCCTTGAATGGAACACAGTTTTCTGGGACCTAACAAAGGCCAGTGCAGTTCAGGCACACAGGGCTATGGTGGCCTGAGACTGGCAGTAGCCACTGGCCTTGCTCAGAGTCACATTGCAGGGAAAAGAGAAAACAAACAAGCTAAGTTATTCTGGCCTTCATCTCCATGAGAGTCTATTGTCATTAGCCTTGTGAACAGTGGGCTAATAGCAGAAGGA